TGGGGAGGCTGGGATAGGAGAGCTGCAGGGAGGGAGTTCCAATCGCTGATGCTGCAGTGTGGGAACGAGCGCTTCAGTGCCAGCGGGGCAGATGCAGGCAGCTGGTGTTGGAGCTGGTGGTCATGGCCACTGACAGCACCGTGCTCGCTGCGAGTTCTGGGGTTGGTAGAGATGATGTGGCGCGGTGGCAACACAGAGAGCAGCTGCGGAGGACCAGGCAAGTAGTGCAGCTTGTACAGGCAGGCAAGCGAGGCAACAGTGCGGCGGATGGCCAGGCTGGGTAGGTGTGCCCCAGGGCCGATAGCATGAGTAAAGAATAGGTATCTAATATTGACAGAGTACGAGGTCAATATGAAATAAAAGCCGAGTAAAAGACCGAGGCGAAGCCGAGGTCTTTTACGAGGTTTTTATTTCCTGCGTGCACATGCTACGAGATTGAGTTTAATAATAAAATTCCTATACTATACTGACCAAGTACGAAGTCAATATTAGATTTACCACGACAAACAGTCCGTATTTCAAATTCCAGAACGATAACCTCATGAATCCCGGTTTTATGATTGCACAACCGTTGCACCATCACCTACTCATGCAGTGACAATGCTGCACTAGGCACCGTTCAACTGCGCAACCCCTAGGCAGTCAAATAAGCAGTCAATATACAATGTAGCCCTAAGGAGTGAAATATGCAGGAATATTTGACTGCTTAGGTATGGCAAAAATCTATGTGAGTCAATACCAAGGGAGTGATACTATTATAACAAGGAACCGAGTGTATATGTATAGATTATAGACCGGTTAGGAGGTCTATACAGGATATATAGACCGAGTAAAAGACCGAAGTCCCCCGAGGTCCCTTTGTTATAATATATTTATACCTCTCCATATTCACCGTGTGTGACCTCCTAATGGCTTGTTCATCGCCGACAACTACTGCTAATTTACCTTAGCGGCTTAGGGCCCGGTCACACATGCACTCGAAAGTAGCGTATACGCTGAAGCGAGGTCGCAGGAGCGAAAAATGGCATGGCAACGGCGAAAAGCGGAACTTCCGCTTCAGCGGAAACTCCAATCCGCTTCCTCCAAATTTTTCGAAGCGAGACTGTCGCTTCTGCGGATTCGCTTCAGCGGAAAACACCACGGTCTGCTGGATATGGACTTGCTACGAGAAATGTGTATGCGTATGATGTCCCTGCAACAAAAATGCGTGCAAGATAGTCATTGACGTCATGACCTCGTCTATACTCCCTACCGTATGCACCACAGTCTCATTTTCCGCCAAAGTAGGAGTTGTGCCCTGTTTGTATGTGTGACCATACACACATGGTTTCGCTGGAGCGACACCAGGCTCGCTGCCGCCGAACCTCGTCGCCGAAGCGAATCCCAGTGCATGTGTGACCGGGCCCTTAGGGCCCGGTCACACATGCACTCGAAAGTAGCGTATACGCTGAAGCGAGGTCGCAGGAGCGAAAAATGGCATGGCAACGGCGAAAAGCGGAACTTCCGCTTCAGCGGAAACTCCAATCCGCTTCCTCCAAAATTTTCGAAGCGAGACTGTCGCTTCTGCGGATTCGCTTCAGCGGAAAACACCACGGTCTACTGTATATGGCCTTGCTACGAGAAATTTGTATGCGTATGATGTCCATGCAACAAAAATGCGTGCAAGATTTAGAAAAGCGATCCTGTCAGCTTTTCTATTATTGTGTTCACATGGCAGAAAAAACGACATCGCTATGCTACGTAAGTTTCTACGTAAGGTGCTCGGTATTTCACTTAGGCTACGTAATATTCTACGTAAGGTGCTCGGTATTAATCTACCAACGCGTGGTAGCCGCGTGCTGTGCACGTGCACGGCAGACATTGTGTTGCAGTGCAGTCCGTTTTCGGATGTGCATGCGCGAGGAACTTTCTTCTTTGGAACTGCTTCTTGCATGAGCTGTTTCGGATATTTCGTCTCCTGGCTTATTTCGCTTTGGCTCTGCTGAGACCTCCTTTCACGGAATATTACTCAGGTGAGTCGACCAGTTCCTTTGATTCATTTGCTTGTGTTGACTCTTTCATTTACGAAAAGTGTGCTGATTTTAGGTGGATTTTAGGTGGAATACAATAAATAATGGAAAAGCTGACAGGAACTGTTTTCTAAATTTAGCTTTTCTGCTGTATTCCTTTTACGGAATACTCAATGACAGGTGATCTCTGAGTTGACCAGTTTCCTTCGATTCATTTGCTTATGCTCACCCTTTCATTTACGGAAACGTGTGCTGATTTTATTCGGATTTAGATCCATTCGTATCTCTTTGCCCTTGCCAACAGTGTGCGAAGAACGCGAGTTCACCTTCTTGACGGTAAGGCTTACATGTATGTTGTATGTTGCTGCTGAGGCTTAGATGTGTTGTCGAAATACTCATGTTAATTGTACATTGGTACGTTACAAGTAAGGCACTGGTCATGATTGCTTCCGGCATTCCGTGCTCCGATCATAGGGTAGAATCTGAATTTTGCAGTGGCATAGCATCGTTGGCATTTCCCAATCTGGGGGGGGGGGGGAAGCATTGGCCGAGTATGCAAAATAAATTCGCATATCAGGGAAAATCTCCATTTAAATCTCCATTTAATTTTAATATGGAGAGGTTCATGCATTCAGTGACTTGTTTGCTTCATACGAAACAAGCCAATGGGTGCAGTCTCGTCTCTTGAAAATCTCGTACGATTGGATTTGTTTACTCGAGTCTGGGCTGTTTGATTTGTGAGTCGCGCCGGGATTGCACTGCCCCAAATAAAGTTGCGTGCCGGCAGAGCAAGAATTACGATCGGCAATCTGTTTGTAGTACCTGCAAGAATGTGCTGTACATGTATCGTATTTTCTCTGTTGTTGTTTCAATTGCCGTCATGTTCCTAAAGAAAGGTTCAGTGACTCATTTGTTTCACACAAGACGAATCAATGGTTTGGTCTGACTTAGAATCTTTCGCTGTAGAATAAATATATTCGTGTCTCTATTGGAGAAATAATTGTATTCACTGGTTATAAAATAGGGTTAAAACAAACTCACAGAACAAAATTAATACCATCGGTCCCTTGATGTTCGTCCTAAAGAGGTTTGACTGGATATCATTCATACTCACCAAAGACATGTAACATTTTATTATTATGGAGTGCCTTGTTTATCTCTCAATACCTCCAACTATATATCCTTGCCCCTTACAATATCCTCAGGATCAGTGTAGTTGTTGGAACGAGGTGTCAGACTCAACAATGTATTTGTTTACATATTAATACATGTTTATTGTTCCTACTTTGCTGTGTTGTTTTAGACAATCGTGGACTTGTAACACTTTGAAGTCATTGAACTACATGTACTTCCAAAAGTTTTATCGACATCAACAGGATTACGATTTCAGTACAATAAGATGCAGGATGACCTTATCACGACAACCCATGACTACCATAAACACAGAATCAAGAAAAACATCTGCGGCACGCACCTGGTTACAATTCTCAAGTAAATGTAATTTAGGGTGTTATTATTATTATTATTATATTTATTTTACTAGGGTGTTTCCCACAGACCTATGGAAATCTGAATTTCCTGAAAGTCAAGACAATCTTATGATAGAGTCATGAAATTCTGAAACAGCAACATACCCAGAATGACCTGCGTATAAAAAAAAGTATCACCGCGTACCGCCACTACCCATATGATTCCCTGCAGAAGAACATGAATATGCAAGACTAGTGCCATTTTCTGCAAGAAAATGCTTGCACATTAATGCGTATAATACGGTATTGAATTTGATATGATGCACATGTACATGTAGAGGCGCTAGGCCATTATTTAGGGCATTCCATTGGTGACATAATTATTATCATAATATCAAGAGTGCATAAACATTTTGTTTATGGACTCTTGATAATATCCTTAGCTAAAAAAAACAAAAGAAATTATAGCAATAAAAACTGCTTTATGGCAGTTTTCTAAAAAAAAGTTATTGTGTTCTAGTCCATGGGCCCCGTCTAAAAAGTAAGAAATTAACGAAATGTGATAGCCGAAAATTAAAATTTCACACAAAACCTCACAATAATCACAGCACTTGAGGATCTTAGTTTTAAAAAAATACTGCTTTCAACACTTGTTTAGTCTGACACTTCACGGGTGACTTTTACTGCGCCAACATGCATGAATAGGAAAGAGGACCCAGAGAGGAAAAGGTCTTCTCGCTTTTCATCCTGTGTGTGATTATTGTGAGGTTTTGTGTGAAATTTTAATTTTCGGCTATCACATTTCGTTAATTTCTTACTTTTTAGACGGGGCCCATGGACTAGAACACAATAACTTTTTTTTAGAAAACTGCCATAAAGCAGTTTTTATTGCTATAATAGTCATTGACCTCGTCTATTCTCCGTACCGTATGCACCACAGTCTCATTTTCCGCCAAAGTAGGAGTTGTGCCCTGTTTGTATGTGTGACCACACACACGTGGTTTCGCTGGAGCGACACCAGGCTCACTGCCGCCGAACCTCGTCGCCGAAGCGAATCCCAGTGCATGTGTGACCGGGCCCTTAGCGGTGTATATGGAGATACACCACTAAGGGAGAGCATGCCTAAGTTACCCTTTGGGTAATCCTGAAATAAAGATTAAAAAGATTAAAAGACTGTAAGTACATGTACTTTAAAAGTCTTTAAGTGTATATGGAGTGAGGTATAATTATTAGTCATACCGGTACGCGGTATCTTCGCTAGCGCTGCGATTTTCAATTATTTTTCAAAGGCGGCGAGCTCGCGAGATTCATTTTTGTTGCAACTCCGCAGCATGACACTGGCAAAACTGGAACATCAAACAAGGCCTGTCATGTATACTCGTACTCGTAGCCGTAACTGCCTTTGACAGTTTGAGTAATGCACTAGCACTGGTCGTACTTGACCACTGCCTGGCACTGGCGCTTGACCACTGGCGCTTGAGTTTTGTACAGGTAGTACAGTTGTGAGGTATATTATGCTCGGCAGGCCGCGAAAGAGAGCCCGTTACCTGGACCCCTACTCGCGCGGGTAGAGCGAAACTGAGCACCCTGGGATGCGAGCAGCTTTTTAGTACTCCCGGGTCCAAAATCTCACCACCAGGCCGGGATGATCAAAACGTCTGCCGGGTCTGCAGCCTACAAACGTGGATCTGCCGACACTGTGCTGTCGACGACATGTCCGGCAAGGCACCTCCTTGCGTGAAAGCAAGGAACGCTTTTTTTTTAGAAAGGAAGCTTCTTCTCCAAAATTTAAAATTTTTGAAAATTATTCCTTCTGAAAATATCATCGCGTTCTTGACCTCGAAGCTGACTGCTGAATGCGATTAGGAAAGAAGATTCCTGAAGATACACCAGACTGATTCTGGCAAGCCGTCTGTCGTCTAGATATGCAGTTGTTCGTCATGCATGGTCAGCAATCTTCCTCGTTCGTCCTTTCGTTTTCCTGACCACGATGATGACAAGCAGCTCTCATGCTCAGGTTAGTGCTGTACTTGTATGTCTGGGCACACAACACATCTGAGATTCACCCACTGACGTTATCGAACTGAAGAATGCAGCAAGGGTTCCTCGGATTCTCTTGATTTCGGAACAAATTTCCTTCACTTTCACCCTCTCAGTCTCTTCCCCATGCCCTCCATGCATGCACAATGCAGCTTGCATTTCAATTGCTGTTTTTTATACTTTGGCAGTGCCTCTGCTACACTTTCATATAGAGTGAGGTCCTTTAAATAGGATCGAACATTGTTGGTGGTGGTGTGTGTGGGGGGGGGGGGGGTACGTTTGCAGCCAGGATGTAGGAATGACACTTCTGCACAGCAGGTGGCAATAGTCAAAACTGGTCACTCTACAAATCCCATACCTGCCAACCTTTGCAAACCTGAGATCCAATGACATACCTAGGCATGAAAATGTATACAAAAGAAGCTCGCGGTGAGGCATGGAACTAGTGCACTTTTGGGTGCCTATTACCGCCCTCGATATCGGGACGGTCCCGGCCAAATCGGGATGGTTGTCAGGTATGAAATCCCAACCGAGAAAACCATTTAATTAAAAGATAAACTCGGCCAGGACATAGCGACTTTCTGTTTGCCGGGGGGGGGGGGGAGGGTCATCGTCCGCAATATTGGTAGAGTTACGATTACATTGTATATGTAGATACATGTGCATCAGGGATTCATAGCACCTGGGGAGACAACATGAGACCTAAGTACCCAAAACGTTGTGAGTTGTGACCCCGGATGGGGTAGTTCTACGTGATCTGTGTTTCTATAGACCTTATTCGATAACGTGATTTTTGGACTCGCCTCCAGGGATTTGTTGTAAGCTGGGGCACGCGTACGTGAAACGAGTGGCAAGAAAGGCCCAGTTCGTACAAGGGAGTAGTAAAATACCGGTATTTTTCTACTCCTATGTTCCCACGCCGAGTCCACTGTGCACTGAGTGCAGGTCTCTTGCCGCTCCCTGGTTCCCGGGACCCTGGTTCACGTGATTGTGACGTTTATTGAATAAGGTCTACATGTATATGCGGGCATGCATAAATCAACCCTTCCACAAGGACGGCTCAAACAGGCAGCCAAGGAGTGAAAATTTCGCTCCTGGGGCTAGGAGTGAAACGAAGGCCTCAATTTGCCAGATGAACCTTCTCCATCGAAACGAACGAAGGTGTCGAATAATTCTTTTACCAGTTCACAGTTGCCGTTCACGCGCACTCCCCGGGGTGGGGGGGGGGGGCTACTATGCACTTGTAGTGATACTTACCGTAAGCCAAGTGGAACACGACTAACAGTTAGTTGACTGCACAGACTACAGTACAGTATACATGCACATGTATACAGTGAAGATCAGTGCGTGCATGCCTGCCATAATCGTATGTTGACCTTCGTTCGAATTGAAAAGAGAGGGTCGTTTCGAAAAAGAAAAAAAGCTCGATGGAAGTATGATGCTGCTGACAATTCAAGACTCACTGAAGTCGCCTTTCTGGAATGGATCATGCACTCTAGGTTCATCCAATTGGATATGGACTCAAATCATTGTTACACCATTATTGTTTGGTTAGTTATTGTACATCCCATAGCATGTACAATCAACCTTGTGAATAATCTACCTCGGGTTTACAAAACAACTCGCAAATAACGACACAATCTTCAGATCTAGTGAACATTTGATTGCATACTTCCAACCTCACGAGTAACAACAATGCGAATAGCGACACTTTTCTCATTCACAATCGAGGGTCAGTATTCCCCAGGTTGACTGCAATTGCCAATCAAACAGGAGGGGCGAAAGTCGACCACGGCTGAAAAGGCATAAAGAAAAATTAATGTATATCATGAGCTAGATGGCTGAAGGAGGAAGTAGGTTTTCTGAGAAAGCAAGAAACAGAGGTGAATGAAGCACCAGGTCTGTCCATGCAGTGGATAGAATTATTGCATTGAAAGACAGGCTCTTTACATCAGCTTGCTACTATTATACCTACATTTGCTTTCTGCCTTTTTCATGCAGGATTCTGAAAGCTGGAGCAGCTCTGCTTACCTCGACCACTGAACTTACAACTAACTTCCAACCAAGTACAAGGCAATATTATGATGAATCAAGCACGCTTGCCATCATGTCATCATTGCAAAGTACATCGACAACATAGATTTGGTGCCGACTATGTATGATGTAGAGTGTGCTCTATGTATCTATACTACTGATTGGCCTACATTGTACTTATGTGGGCTGAGAGTAATCGATTGTGCTATATGGCAGTTTACTTGTATGTCATAGATGTTAACATTGCACACAGCTTCTGAAATGCTTTCTGTTGCACTGGCCTACTGCGGCCCACTGCAAATAGATTGTAGTGGCATGGGCCATGCCATAATTATAGTAGTATACCGGTACTACACCAACAATTTCACTGGTGCACTGTACTTACTGGTACGAGTAGATCTACATCATGCACAGCCTTGTCACTGCTTTTCTCATTTTTTATTAATTTACTGTACTGTACACATTTTGGCACAGCTCTTCCACAAAGAGTTACTAGTATTTTCTTCTGCATACCTACTGTATACAGTGACCTGACTGGTAACATCTATGGCTGTGAAATCACAAATATCTGGGTTGACAGCCTCGAACCTATACGATTTGTTTCTAAGAACGTGCTATAAGAAATTTTCTATTGAAGTATTCTACTGTAGCTCGCAGGACATGGAGTGCAATTACGTAAAGTTTGGAACACCACTCTTCTGTGATTTGGATGTCAAATTATGAAATTCAGTGTGTGAGGTAAACCCATGCATGGCATACACTGCTATAGTATGACTCGGGGTAAAGTGTTCCAACGCATACTCATTATAGTGAATAGTTGTGTGACCAACGTTGTTGCTGCTGGATAAATAGTACATATTCTGAGATAACTGAAGCTACACAGCCATCTAATGTTCAGACATGCATCGAAGGGGCCGTAACGAGATCTGCAAGGCATGATTCTATACCTGTATTTGATGCTCTCTAGCCTAGGACATTCACCTGCCTCATTTTCTCTGTGCTGCATTGATGAGTCCATTAGTAACTAAAGGACGAAACAGCATGCTGTCTGCAGATTGGTAATTGTGTAAAGACAGACGTGTATGTAGTGGTAAAGCTCAGATACATGTGCAACATAACAATCCCGGTGTTTGACAACAGCACAAACCTACACCGCAATTCTTAATTTTGGGCTGTGGTGTTCTTAGTATTCCAGGTTGGATGTTCTGTAGGCTTCCACGTTCTTGGGCGCACGACTTTACTGTGCCGAAGAATATTTTCAGCCAATGAACCCAGAGCTTGGTGGCAGATGAGTGCCATGGAACAGCCTTTTGCATGTGGCTTTCACTACATGCCCATGTATAACGTTCAATTGATGCGGAAAAATCAGACGAGGACTTTTGCAGTTATGAGCAAGGTCCCCACGAATGGTCATGTCACTTCACAGAATACATGAACTGATAGAGTAGACCTCGGTCCCCTCAGAGAACGCTTGGGGAAGTCGGGTTCAACCATAGATTTATACTTAACAGAGAACGCTTGGGGAAGTAGGTTTCAACCATAGATTTATACTTAATATTCTTTACAACAAGGATCGATGTGTTCCTTCGGATGCCCTTTATCGACTTTCACACACTTCTCCTCTCTCCTTTCGTCATAAGCACCATCTCTGTACACTGGTTCATAAAATATTTCTTCATAAAACCCCTTCACACATACATAAGTACAATTGGTTTTCGACAAGCTCAACCCGTAACGCGCTTATCCTGCCTCTTGTTAAGTCAGCCCGGCATCTAAAGCCCCCCTTGTTTTCCGGTTATTCTCATTGGTTAACTGGGGACATGTCCAAAACCATACTAAGTACTTGAGCTGCTCATGAGCCCCACAATTATCAGGCCCGCCGGTCTGGTTGGTCAGGTTATCACCAGACCAACTTGTTGGCCACCAACAAACGTTTCCTACCGTGGAGGACGTGTGTACCCGCCATGAAACTACCGGACCAATCAAAAACTGCTTCCGGCGGTACTGATTATAGTACAGGTTTAAGTTAAAAAGCGGCTCCATTTTGTCATACATTAAACCAACTCTGTCATTGCTATGCTACTCAAAAAGAGTAGTGATGTTTATTCACAAATGAATCACAATGCTATCAGAGAAATTCGATATTCTCCAATTTTAGGGGCACTGCAATACTATCCAAAATTAATGCTGCATGGTCATTGTTATGAAGCAGTCACCTCAGTACAGCAATTAAACAGGCTGATTATGTGAACGAGATTCACGGCAAATCTTCTTCCATCAGTGCTGTTCAGTCTTGAGTGGTCCACTGAGACAGGAAAACAACCTGTTCGGTCCTTCCATACGAGAAACAGAAATTGAACATGTTCCAGGGTGGAGGTGGCGAGTATCGGCAATGTAATGCACCTTTAGGCCAACATGACCATCATTCCGACATGGATTCTCAAACACCTTCGCTCGTGAGAGTGCCTCAGAGTGGTATTCATCAACAGATGGCAATCCTGTAAAACACATGAAAAGACATAGCAGCAACAGAAAGAAACCTAATGTTATAGAAACGAATTCGAAAAACAAAGTCTACTATTATTCTAATACAGTGAACCAAGGTACAAGCACACTCCAGGAGGCAAGCAAAAGAGCATATAATCCGAAGGTTGCGATGCCTGTATGTATTGTATTTATGTATTTACGGATTCTCCACAGGCTAAATCGAGGGAGTCTTTGTCATGCCACACTGGATACAACATGCTACCAGAATCACTTTCCCCAGAATTGATGATCTTTTCTTAGGGTGTTATATAAGACACATCTGTAGCCACTTCATCTTGCTCACGAAATCATACACCATCACACAAACGGGTCCTTCGGCTATTATACTTTGGGTGGTACATGGTGATGTATGATATTGATAATCTATTGATACCATATTCAAGTCTGACTCTCACCGTGAGATCCTGGCAACAATATTACCTGGTACACGACATATTCAGACACTGACATAAGCATCTTTTTGGAACAACAGGTGTGCCTATCTGCTAGTGTAATGTGACACACATGCAGAACACATGCAGAATCAGTCATAGCTAATTTTACCCCCTCACTGTTGTATGCGCAGACTCCACTTCGCGGTGTCAAGTACTCTTCTTTCGGTGGGCTACTCCACTAAGGCGCTTGTCTAAAAGGACTCACATTCATCCTGCAAACCAACACGACTTGCATAGTTTTCACTGTCGGCCAAAGTGCGTGCATTGCACACATTGAGATTCACTCCCTCCGTACAGGCCAGTACAGAGCTGCCCACCAATTGAGTCTGTTTTGCGTACTCAAACTTCTGATTTTCCGTATCTTGCAGTGTTTTGCGTACTGCCGTGTACATTGCATGCATACTTGCACTGTAATGTTTTTTGACACGCACATGCATGTCGGTGGCTGCATTTGGTAGTGTAAAACATGTGTGACTTGCACTCACGACATTATTATTTTTGTGCTACATGTACATGTTGTTGTGGTACGGCATGCACTCGCTTTGGTACAAGACTATTCATCACTCAGCTTACACTTGCAATGCTTCTACACAGCTGATTGATCCTCTCCGATTTTCTATACCATTTGCTCAATTTCTGTAGTGCGCACAAGGAGTGATTTTCCGTACAAATACAGAAAATATGGAGGGCTGGTACTTGGTAGCACTGCTAGTATGGTAGTACCAGGCTAAGCTGGCTGGAAGATCAAATACTTCTTTGGTTCTTTCAGTCATTTTCACGACATATGTTTTCTTTATCATGATCCCCGGGGTGTGACATTCTTATGAATGCAGAAACTCAGTCTTTCTAACCGAGTCTCACGTGCAATGTGAATTTGTTCTTCTTTTCTTCACAATGCCATGTATCGATTCATCGCTTCTTCCCACCCGAGATCCTATGCAACAGCGATTTAAAGATTGGCTTTATCAAATAGTTAATTCAGAGAGAGAGGATCAGTTGTGGATGCTGTGACAGCATAGAGTGTAGATTGGTGTAAACATCATTTTGGTTATGTAATCTTGTTACCTTTTTTGCGTTTCCTCTAGTGGTTTTATTGCACTTGTATCTTGATGTTATTTCTAACACCTTTCTATTTACAGTACTTAACTTCAGTTTCTTTGGTTGTATCCATAGTTCCGTTTTTTCCCACTGATGATAGGAACGAGAAAATCGATTCTGGGTTTTCAATAATATTTTTGTTATAAAATACACAGTAATACATGTCAAACAAGTAACGTAGTTGCGTGATGTCTGCGGCCTTCATCCTATTTGTAAGCTTTTTAATTATTATTATTATTAACTGGTTTTGAGGGAAAGAGACAAACGGGTTATTATTATTATTATTATTATTTTAAAACGAAGGTAAGTTATGGGTCGCAAGTATCCACGCAAACACACATCCAGTCATAATAAGGCACTTGTCATAAGTATCCGAACGTTTTCGGTCCCTTCTCATCAAGGATTATACAGGGAATGACTCAAGTTTGAAAGACTAAAACTTATATAGCGTAAAGATAATTAGATAACAACACTCGTGACAAGGTGGAAAATTATCAAGTTTAGCACGACACAAAACTCGAAGGAAAATAATAATAATGACAACAACATAGTGAGCAAATTAAGTTACATTGTTACCACCTCGACGAGGAGTAACACCAAACAATTGTAGCGACAACACATTTTCTTTCTGTACGCAAAGTTCAGGATCTAACTTACGGATATACAAAGCTTCTAACACAGCCAAATGCAACGCACATCTACCACGTGACAATATTGAGAAAACTTTATCACTGTACAACTCACGACAATTGGTACGGGCTGACAGATGTTGCTTGATTGACGAAGTGCGATTCTTAGCTCCATTGGGTGTTGTCTCTTCCAATGTCCCGTCATCTCGCCTCTTCGTTGCATCACCACTATCCGTCTCTTCGCGTTTCCGCGGCCTTCCACGTTTCTTGACACTAACCGTTGGGTGCGCGATACCCAGTGTCCTTTCAGCTACGTCTCCTCCATTGCGGATTTCTATTGAGCTTCTTACTCCAACTTGTCCGGTGTCCGATATTGAGGTTAGTTTTCGCGGTCTACCACGTGCCACGTCTACATTCCGTGGGGGAGCTATACTCCAACGAAATCGAAGAGACATCTTGTGAAAGCGCTAGTTTATCGTGCACATAGAATATGTTCCCCTCATCTATTGCAGGACGAATTAGACAGACTGACATCAATATTTACGAACAACGGCTATCCAAAGGAATTTCTGGCCAAGCTAATCAACGAAAAGCCGGTGACAGACAAGCCTATCCAATTTGGACCTGACCGTTGCCCAGATCGACGGGTATGGTATTGTTTTAACTGCGAACTGGACAGAAGCAAAGAAGATGTGCACAGATCGTGGTAGCTTTTTGCTTGAAGATAATGAAATGAAAGATGACCATTGCGTGGCATCGGCCCTTAACAATTTCATAAAATATGCTGGTTCAGATGGAGTGTGGACTAACAAGGAGGATCA